GTGTGAGTGAGTGTGTTAGAGAGAGAGTGTGAGTGAGTGTGTTAGAGAGAGAGTGTGAGTGAGTGAGTGAGTGTGTTAGAGAGAGAGTGTGAGTGAGTGAGTGAGTGTGTTAGAGAGAGAGTGTGAGTGAGTGAGTGAGTGTGTTAGAGAGAGAGTGTGAGTGAGTGTGTTTGTGTCTCAGTCGTTGGAGTTCTTGTGCAGTGAGGATTACTATGGTTCCGGATGATTATTACCATACTCCTGTACAGCTTGTCTTACTCTCTCTCACTTCCAGCAGTGTGTGTCTGTAGGTGAGCATGTGACGCGCTGCGGGCTGACTCAGCGGGGGGCAGGGCTCAAACCGACTCCGTCACGCCGCGTCAGTCTAGAGTCGCACAATTATGAAAAATCCACCTTCCGCTGGAGCTGCAGCTGACGCACACGACTCCCTCCGCCGCCACCGGGCTCTCCTTCCGAGGCTTACCGAGCAGCACGGCGCCGATAGATGGCTAGACGCCCCGGATCAGCGCGTCGTGAGTCTGAACGGTGAAGAGAATGGTACGCAACTCTGTCGTTAGCGTGGCGCGGGCGCCGAGTGCGTGTTTCTGAGGCGAGCTGCTGCAGGGACGGACGCGCTGACAGCTGAGCCGGCGGGGCTCGGGCGTCGCGTCGAGGCTTTCTGGCTCGTGGATCGCCGCTGTGAGTGACGCGTGTGCGCACCGAGCCCCGGTACCGGCGACGCCTGGCGTACGCAGATCACAGTGAGTGGAAACAGTCGCGTTAGCTTAACGGTAGCCGCTCGCGCGCGGTCGCTTCCTCCGCTCACTGACATTAGCTGACTAAACAGCCGCGCGAAGAGAGCCGTAATCACATTAATGACAGTTAAATATTACAGAAATCATAAACAGAAATACCGCGTTGGCGCCGCGCGCGAGCGGCTGCTGCATGGCGCGAGTTCTGAGGAAGTGCCTGCGACGCGTGTGCCGCGCGTTGGATTGTAGATGTCGCGCTGTTTTTATGTTCAGCAATACTCTGAAAATGTGTTTGTGTTCATGAAAACGTGTTTAAATAATAACCTGACGCTCTTCTCCCTCCGCGCGTGCTGTCAGCGAGGCGGCGGGAGCGCGCGCGCAGCGTCACGCGCGAGTAATCAAGTAAAGTATAAATAAAGCAGAACTCTGAGTGATTAGTCTGCCGCGCAAAGTAGTGCTACTATTGTGACGTCATGTTTCTAAACAGTCCTTTTCATCAGTGCAAACTGACAGAAAACTCTTAAAGTCCGCGTGAACCGGATGTTGCTGCCGACTTTATTTCAGTGCAGTGACATATTTCCATCAGAAACGGAATATTGAATAGAGGGCGTGGTTTTATTTTTGCGCTCCTCCTCTCTGTCGCTCACTCACAGCAATCTAACCGTTAGAGGGGCGTGTTTAAGCCGTCAAACTGACGTCATCAGAGAAGGAATGCCATTCCAGAGCTGAACCAAATGTTCAGATTTTTATTGAAAATTACCAAGACAAACAATTTTTTTCAGCAGATTAACTTGCACTGATTAATTGCTCACATCAAGACTAGCAATGTGCGCTAGTAAAGTAAATAAAGTCAATTTTGATTTCATGCTGACTTTAAAATAAAGTTTTTTTTTTATAGAAGAACCATTTTTGGTTCCCCAAACAACCTTTCTATGAACAGCTCTAAAAAAGAACCGCGTTTTCTTAGAATAAAGAACGTTTTTGTGCGATGGAAAGATCTGGTGGCTGTTAAAGGGACAGTTCACCCAAAAATGAAAATTCTGTCATCATTACTCTTTCTTCTGTTGAACACAAAATAAGATATTTTGAATAATGTTGGCAAACAAACAGTTGCCGGTAGCCATTGATTTCCATAGTATTTTTAATACCCCTTATATAGAAGTCAATGGGTACCGGCAACTGTTTGGAAGAAAGAAACTCATACAGGTTTGGAACCAGTGGATGATGACAGAATATTAATTTTTATGTGGACTTTCCCTTTAAAGGTTCTTCATGTAACCATTAACGTCAATGAAGAACCTTTATTTTTAAGACTATCGGCGCAGGCGTGCTGCGTTAACTAAACAATGTCCATTCTTCAGTTACCAGACTTTATCATTGACAGACGTTTCCTATCAGCTGTCTTTCCACTCGTGATGGATGTGGATTATCTGGCGTTTGTGCATGTTTGTTTTTATGGCGTCGCTTGAATCAGCTCGTATGTTTCTTATTGGTATGCATTGATATAAGTGTGTGTTTACAGTAGTGAAGTGACATTATTCCAGTATTTAGTTCTAAGCAGCTACATGTATGGTATTATTCAGTCTCACTGATCGTCTGAAGTCTTGTCCGGTTGTCTCCTGATCTCTGGTCATTCTGGAGGACTGGAACCGGATTTACCTGCACTACCGGGCCCCGGGGTTCTTCAGGCCCTAGAGCTGAATTTTTTAGTCTAAACGAGTTGAGCTGATCTTAATGACCCCTGTGAGAAGAACACAATGTGAATGGATGGGTGTCTCAAAGCTGATTTTTACTGCTTAACACTTCTGGAGAATCATTGGTAAACCGGGCTTCAGTAGGAAATTTCATTCAATCAGTTGGATTAATTAGTTTGGTGGTTAATTGACGTGAACTGGATGGAGCTGTAGAGCGACGCGTCTCGTAGTCTTTATTGTTGTTCTGAAAGCTTTTGGTCTCGTCCTCATGTCAATCAGACGTTGTTTCTTCGTTGGAACACAAAAGAAGATATTTTGAGAAATGTTTCAGTGTTTTATGATTATGCAATGAAAGTCAATGGAGTCCAATGTTCCCAGCGTTCTTCCAAACATCTCTTTTTATGTTCCACAGAAGAACAAAAGTCATAAAGGTTTGACGTGTATTTGAGTGTGTTTAACTGCTATGTACTTACATTTAAATCAATCGTTTGATACAATGCACTTATTGTTTTTATACTGTACTTATATTTTAAATACCTTCCTGTGGTTGCATTTGTAATTAATTTCTGTAATCACATCTATAATTATACTGTTGACCGAACCACTACACCTTAACCCACCCGTAAACCTAACCTAAACCCAACCAGACCACCAAACCTGTCCCTAACCTTAACCGTATCCCACCTCAGTAGCAGCAAATGTGTCTTTAACTACTATGTACTTACATAAAAACAAATAATTGTTTGGATACAAATAGTATCCAACTGCAGAGTCGCAGCTGATGAATGGAGATGAAGCCTGGGTCTCGAGCGCGACACCTTGAAAAAGCTGCGAGGCTCAATGGTCAAAGATTTCCATCTAGCGTCATATTTACATAGAAAAGCTATTAGAAAAGCAGCGGAGCTTCGTAAACAGCTCAGAGTAATCAAGCCATCTCCAAGCCAGTTTACCAGTGAAGACTGCATGTGTGAAAGGGGCTGAACTCTTCCTCTGCATATGCGGTGTGCAGGGGCAGACTTACCCATTAGGCAAAGGTAGGCGACCGCCTTGGGCCCCCAAAAGCCAAGGGCCCCCTAAAATGCTTTTCATATAGGATATGCGCATTAAGCGCGGACACGCGAACGTTTGCTGTTTATATTATTACCACGACAAGCGTCCGAGTCTGTGGCAGCTGCAGGTGTACGGCTGCACTGTGAGTCACGAGCGCTCAGACTGATCTGAGATCTGCCCCCGCAAACATTTCAGCAGTTATTATAGGCCTGTGTGTCCCGTATTTCTGTCGACTGAACCCATGCCGTTAATTATGAATTTATCAGTCTTTTGCATGCCAAAGTCAATTTCTGCATAGAAATATTACGCCAAATAAGTGCTCTTTCCCTTTAAACCTAGCCAAAAAGCCATATGTGTTGACTGTGAAACACAGTAGACTTTAATTATATGCATTTATGGTGTAATTACTACATTTTCGTATCAATCCATGTTCATATTTACTGCAAACAATGCGCTGTTACTGTAATTCAGTGCTTGCAGCACAGCAATAGACTCGGTGCTGAAACGATCTCTGCACTGCTGCAGACGCACTGCTCCTGAACGCACTGCCGGATCGTAACCGTGTGCAGCGTGAACGATTTACTAATCTGTTAACATGAGAAAAAATACGCACCACATACGCACTGCAAACGGAGTAATGTGAATATAATGATTTCATCCGCACCGGACAGAGACTGAGACGCTGCATGTCGTGCCAAACCTCTCACGGCAGCGTCGTCAGCTTGAGATCGTTTTTTTGAGATCGGCCTTTTAGAGACCACCGATCAATCATCCCAACGTGATTATCGGCCGATAGTGATCGGTAGC